AAAATTAAGATGTCAATCCTCTCTACATTAATTTATAGATTCTTTTTTTCCCCTTACTTCAGCAAAACAGGAGATAATTTATAGAGTCAATGCAATCCCAAAACTCAGCAGGCTTTATTTTAGAAACTGATAATTCTAAAACTTATATGGAAATGGGAAAGAACCAAAACAACCAAAACAAGTTTTAAAAGGCAAAATAAAGTAGAAGAACCTGTATTTCCTAATTTCAAGATCCACTATAAAGCCACAGTAATTAAGGCATTGTTGTCACCAGTATGGACATATAGATCAGTAGAACAGAGTAGAGCCTAGAGATAGACTCACAACACATGTGGTCAGTCATTGCCAACAAAGGCGCCATAGAATTCAAGGGGAAGGACGGACGTTTTACTACTGGATTTCCTCATGCCAGAGGGAGGGGGAACTCTTCCGCTCTTATTGTAAACAAAAATTAATTCAAAATGATCACAGGTCTATATGGGAGAGCCAAAACTATACAACATCTATGAGAAAATCATTATGACCTCAGGTCAAAGATTTCTTAGTCAAAAAACAATAAAAGAAAGAAACTGATACATCAAATTTCATCATCAAAATGAAAAACTTTTACTTTCTGAAAGATATCATTAAGAAAATGAAAAGGCAGGCCAGGTGTGGCATCACACTTGTGATCCTAGCACTTTGGGAGGCCGATGTGGGAGGATCACTTGAGGCCAGTTCAAGACCAGTCTGGACAACACAGTGAGACCCATCTCTACAAAAAAATTAAAAATTCAACAGGTGTGGTGGTGTGCACCTACAGTCCCAGCTATCCAGGAGGCTGAGGGAGGAGGATCATCTGAGTCCAGGAGTTTGATGTGGTATGAGCTGTGATGATGCCACTGCACCCTAGCCCTGAAAATAGAGTGAGACCTTGTCTCAAAGAAAAAAAAAAATGAAAACGCAAACCACAGACTGGGGTAAAATATTTGTAAACGTGTATCTGTTAAAGGACATTTATCCAGAATGTATGAAGAATTCTTATAACTCAATAATAAGCCCAAAACCCTGATTAAAATTTCAGCAAAAAACCTTATCATTAGCAAAAAATTTAACCAAAGATACATAAATGCCCAAAAAGCACAATGAAAAGATGATTAACATCATTGTTCATTAGGGAAATGCAAATTAAAACCACAATGAGATATGATTCATATCACATCAATGACTGCGATACCCAGTGTTGGCAAGGATGCGGAGAAATGGAAACTCACATGCTGCTGGTCGGGATGCACACCATACAACTGGTCACTCAAAAAATTTGGTCTTAACTTATAAAAGTAAACCAACATGTCCCACACCACCTAGTGATCCCACCCCTGGCTATCTACTAGTGAGAAATGAAACACATATCCACACAGAGACTTGTAGGTGAACGTTCCCAGCAGCTTGGTTTATAACAGCACCCCAAATGTTAATGACTCAAATGTCTATCAAGTGAGGAATGGATAAACAAACTGTAGTGTGTCCATTCAGTGGAACACTAGTCGGCGTTAAAAACGAACGAAGGCCAGACACAGTGGCTCATGCCTGTAATCCCAGCACTTTGGGAGGCCAAGGCAGGAGGATCGCTTGAGGCCAGGAGTTCAAGACCAGCCTGAGAAACATAGTGAGACCCCCATCCCTACAATAAGTAAAAAAAATTAGCCGGGCATGGTGGTGCACACCTGTAGTCCCAGCTACTCAGGAAGGGGAGGCAGGAAGCTTGCTTGAGCCCAGGTGTGCGAGGTTGCAGTGAGCTATGATCATGTCGCACATCTCAGCCTGGGAGACAGATCAAGACCTCATCTCTTAGATAGACAGACAGACAGACAAGGAATGAAGTACTGATTCACGCAGCAACATGGCTGAATCACTCAGGAAGCGTTACACTAAGTGAGGTGGGCTGGGGGTGGGGCAGTGGCTGATGTGAGGGGCACTTGGGAGCCTTTTGGGGTGATGAAAATATTCCTGGTCCTAACTGGTGGGGGTCACACTATTGCAGACATTCATCATGCCAGTCGAACTGCGTGCCTGGAGTGGGAGAACGCTGTTTCCAAATCCACTAATAAACATCGTACCTGGTGGGCAGACAACTTTAAGAAACTCCAACTCAAATTAGAAAAAATTTTGATCACTATGTTGCCCCTGTAAGTGTAACTTAAGTCAAACCCTGAGAAATAAATTGGGTCTTATGTTGTCTTGACTCAATCGAAGCACGTCTAAGAACAAACTCTCATTAAGTACCGTTCCTTTAACCTGTGAAAATACCTGCTACACACGGATCCTGCTCTCCTGCTGAACACATAACCGAGTGTTCAGTTCTACATGAGCTGAGCCATACGCAGGGTCAGTAAGAGCCACTGTCGTCCCCTGCGAGTGTTTGCCACAGCCCCGTTTATTCCAGTTCTCCCAGGTTGGGCCTCACCTCTGGAAGTTCATATGGAACAAACCACAACTTTGATATAAAGTATATATATAATAAAGTACATGCAGACGGTCCCCGACTTATGACGGCTCCACTTAGGATTTCTGAACCTTACAATGGTGCGAAAGCAGTACGTATCCAGTAGGAACCGCACTGCAATACCATACAACCATTCTGTCTGTCACTTTCGTTACAGTATGCAGTAAACTACATGAGCTCTTCAACATTTAACCATAAAATAGGATTTGTCTTATGAGTTGTCCAACTGTCGCCCAATGTAAGTGCTCCAAGCACATTTAAGGTGGGCCAGGCTGAGGGATGATGTCCAGTAGGTTAGGCACATTAAATGCATTTTCAACTTGGGATATTTTCAACTACAATGGGTTTAGTGGGACAAAACCCCATTTAGTTATCATCCTAAATTATCTAAAATCTATGCAAGTCTCATATAATAAATACTCAAAACCAAACAATGAAATGCGCTACAAGCTATTTGGGAATTGAGACAACTGTACCGTGAGAAAATTCCAAGGAGTCATGGAAGTGCTAGGGTTTGTAAAGCCTTAACACACGAAAACCTACCACTAAGAAAATCCAGGACTTTTCTCTATGTCTCTTTATCACACCAATCCACTTCTCCGTAACCAGAGGGTCTGAATCTTGTATTTGTCCCCTAACCATAAGAGGTGGTTCAAAAAGTAAACGATGGCAGCCGATTTCCAATTCAAACCACCTCAGCTTCATGACAACAACTGCTTTTGTAATGACCCTGGTGCCAGGTCCGGATGCAAGTTAATTGCCACCCACCTTCTCCCTCGCTGGGGTCCTTCGTTCTGTGAACCCACCAAGGCCCCTCCTCCTTGGGCCTCTGGTCATGCTGCCCGAGTGCCCTCTCCTCACTCTCCCGCGCTCTCCTCAAGGCCTTTGCACACCAGCCCACCCTGTGAGAAACTGGCATCCCCACCCACAGAGAGGGTGTGCGTTTCATCCCCTCATGGCACTTGAAGGTGGCACTGGCTGGTCGGGTCACTGTCTTCCCCGCCTCTCCCCACCAAGCCACACAAGCAGAGGTGCAGTGTCCTGCCCGCCCCCAGCGCCCTAGCATGTGGTAGACACCTGAGGAACGTGGGCAGAATAAACACAGCGTGACAAACACACAGACAAAAGAGCCAAGAGTGAGCTGTGCTTGGTTGTGCCCCACAAACCCCAGTCCTCCAGGAAAGGGTCGTTTAACCTTGTCTGTGCCCTGGACTCTCCTCTGGCTATCCCGTGAAGCCTTCTCAGAACAAGGTTTCTCAAGATGAAAAATAAACTACCCAAGATTACAAAGGGAAAAGTAAGCTGAAACACGATCATTAAAATGCTGAGAAAGTCTTATGTGTGCTTATTCATTAATGGATTAAGTGACAAGACCTAGGGGCGGATCCGGTCACTGCTGTGATTCTGAAATAACAGTGAGTATCGGCGGTATTTCCAGACACCTGCTCTCGCTGTAATGTGGCAGGAAATCTGTGAGCTCTGATGCCGATGCCAGCGGGGGCTACTGCCCCCATTCATAATGGAAGGAAATGCTGCACTTTCACACTGGACTTCAGATCCGTGCCCTGAACCCAGTGAGCTGCCCCACAGTGGGGCCGAGTAACGCTCACCGAGGAAGGAAAATTTTCTTTGTTTGTAGCAAGAAACATTCCTAAAACCACCAAGGTAAGTAGAGCTAGAAAATATTTTACTGTATAATATGTAAATAAAACCGATGCTTTTAAATTGTTTGCCCCCTTACCTAGTCCTCTCATAAGGCCAAGGAGTTGGAAAATTAAGGCTTTAAAACTTCCTTAGACTACGGGGAAAACTAAACATTCTGACAAAACTTTCAGGCCCTAAGACATTCCCCAGTATCAGTCTGGAAGGAACACCAGCATCTTCCACATGCTAAGCTGGGTGGTGCCAACCGGTGTCTCTGAATTCCTTTATTTTTGGAAATACCTGTCATTCAGCCATCTAAAGGCCACAATAAACTTGGGTAATGAGATACAATAAGGAAATCGGTGTTTCCCATGCGAGGCACTGTTCTAAGCTCGAGCCGGGGACCACATCAGCGTTGGTCTGCAACATGCTCACTTTACAGACAAGGAACCTGAGTGTGGCGGGGAGGCTGACTCCCCCAGGATGACACAGCCGATGACTGTCACTGCTAGTGACTGTGTCCTTCACTCGTGGTCCATCAGGTGTGGTGGGTATCATGGGAGGTGGGCCCAGGCCAAGGGTCAGTACTCACGCAGTACTTATCGTGCCAATTCTGCCCCCAGATGCTCAACTACCACTTTGCCAAAACCGCAATTCAATGTCAACATCCAAGGACGGCTCCGCCCCAAACCCAATTTAAAACAGGAGAAAACCATTGTCAGAGCAGGTGGAAGGGAGAGAAGACAAGGACTCCCCGTGTCCAGGGGTCCTGAGGACACTGTCCTACCTCCTACCGCGTGACCAGAGCCAAGCTCACCCCGCTGGTGATGTGTGCTCAGCACTGGTCACACACAGACGGGACAGCACTTACCAATCTGCAACAGTATTGGTGTGACCAAAGCCGTTTCCATGGCGTAACAGAACTCCCTGCCAAACATCACTGCCCCGTGCATCACCCACAGGCGTGTGGGGATCCGGTCTATGGAGCCCTCACTGAGGGTCTCATCACGATTCTCAGCTGCCGCGTCTCCAGGTTTCTGCAGGTCCGGCAGGGGCACAGGTAACTCTTGAACTTGCATAGATTCTGGGTCGGCATTCTGCGGGGCCATTTTCATTACCACCAAAAATATATATATACTTTTATTCTATCTATATAAATAATACTATCATATATCTTTAATGATAAATTAAGACGTCTTCTCTGTTTCAGTTGTGTTCCTCAGGCAAGTAATACTTATATTCCTCTTTGTACAAATAGATATCTCACGACTTCTCACAATCGTATGAGACATGCAGCAAAACAGAACGATTTTTGGTTGGATTTTAAACATATGGCTTGCTGGTTTACTGTGAATTAGAGTTAAAAATCCATAAGTGCCATTCAGTTAATACCAGTTTCATCATTATTATCGAAGAGGTGTTGAAGTTCTTGCTACAGAGAAGTGGGAAGGTGACACAAACAGGTGGTCCGCTGTTAATCCCCATCGAGTGACTGGACGACCTGCAAAAGAGGAAAGACAACCCGCCAGAGTCAGGGGGCAGCCTCCACGCGGCCCCACTGGGCCGCCACCCGACCCCCACACGCCAGCTGCGCGCTTCCTGGGGACTGATCCGAGATCACACAAGAGAAGTCTACGGACCTGTCATAGCCTCAGATCTCTGGTGCTTCCTCTGGGTGTGTCTGTGCAAACAGCAAAACCTGATTTCTAGAAAAACAACATTTTCTCATATGGAATTTAACCCTGGGGGAGGATAGAGGTGGGGCAATATAGGAAGCAGGATCAGAGAAGATGAGCAGAGAAAAAAAGCTAAAACTGTTTGCTCTTTGGCCAATAACATCATCAACTCAGCATGTAGTGGTACACAAATATTCCTGCACACTGAAGGTGCTTAGCGGTACCCTTCGTGGCCTGCAAATGTCATGACAGGGAGGTAGGAAGGTGGGAGGGGCAGGAGGAAGGTGAGAGAACTAAAAGGGAAACTGTAGACACTGCCTGGAGGGGGGCTGGGTGGACCGAGGTTGCAGGACGCCCTGACCAGAGGGGTCCAAGTCTACCCAGTGGCGTCTGGATTCTTGGTGTCACCCTGTCCAGGGCAGTGGTCCTTGACCTTTTTAGGTTATAAAACCTTCTGATAATAAAATGAAAGTTATAGACCTTCTCTCCAGAAAAAATGTACACACATGCCAAACTTTGATTATAATATCTAAGGGTTCAAAGAATCCCAACCTGCAGGGCTTCCCCAAGGGGCCATGGAACCCCTATGCCCCAATCGTAAAGCTCCTACCATCCCAGCTCCTGTGACCCTGCTTGGTGACACATTCTCTACCTGGATGAACACATCACTGTAAAGCATAGGCTGCCTGGAAATAAGCTAACCAGAAATGTCCCCTTAGAAGTGTTTTAGGAAAATAAAGTTAATCTCTCCCCATGCAAGGCAACATCAGGGATACAGAACCCCCCAAGTTCTTCTGGAGTTGGGCCTCCAGATACTGGGGTTCAGTTCAATCAGAGTGCTAGATAAAAGAGCCCCTGAAATCACACAAAATGGTGTTCATATTTTATATTAAGGTAGGTCTGTGGGCTGGTATCTTATTGAGAAGTTTAACAATTGGTTTCAATAACGATATTTCTAGTTTCCATCCACTTAACCCAAAGTGGTCTTAATTAGCTTCTCTTCCCTTTCTCCCCAGAAGGGACCAGAAACCTCGAGATGTCATCTTCATTTAGTCCCTCCCTTGGGTAGTCCCAACAGAGCGGTGGCAGGTCTGCAGCAAGTGAAACCGTGGAGATGCCACCCAGACCCCCGGAGGGAGAGGGCTCGGCGAATGGCGAAGCCAGAGCTACTCCACCGTCGGGAGGTTCCCAAAGAGCTCTGCACATGGCTCTTGCATTCCAGTTCCTTCTTACTGCCTCTTTCATGCTGCCCCTGAAACTTAAATCCTGACTAATTCCTTGGGAATCAAAGGTTCTAGTAATCTCTCTATATTTGCTTCTCATGTCCCCAAAACTTCACTACAATTCCAAAGAGCAGACCTTATTTGAGAATTCTTCCAAATTTACCAAACTTCCTCTACCATATAAACATCTCAATGAAAACAACCGTTTCCAAACAGTTATTTTGGAATATATTACAATATTAAAAAAAATATTTCATCATGGAAGTACTTCTAACATATGCAAAGTAAACAGAATAGTATAGTAAGTCACCCAGCTCTAACAATTATCAACATTCTGCTATTCTTGTTCCATCCCTACCTTTTCTGAATTCTTCCTATCCTAGGAGAAAATGTCATGACTTTTTTTGTTGTCAATCTTATACCAAAATAGGTCAATGGTTTTAACTGCCCCCTTCCACCGGGTAAGCGCGACCATTTGAATGAGAAGAAAGTGTATCCAGACATGTTTGTAAAGCCCAAATAGATCAACTGGGCTTCTGCCTGGAATGATAGCAATTAGTTTTCTAAGAAACCATCATGATTTAATCATAAACGTTGAACCCCTCAGTTCTATTCAACAGGCCCTTGGTCCCACTGCTGTGTCTGTCCTCAGACACTTGTACCTGAAATGAAGCAGCCTCTGCTCCTAAGAGTTATTTTAGCCGTAGCTACGGATTAGGCAATAAGCTCTGTAACAAGCATGTGAATCGTTCTAAGGTAGAAGTTCTCTACCGGGGGGACTCTGCACCCCCAGAGACGTTGGGCAATGTCCTGAGAACGTTTCGATTGTTACAACTAGGAGAGGGGTGCTGCTGGCACCTCGTGGGTGGAGGCCAGGGATGCTGCTTAGCATCTCACAGTGCACAAGACAGCCCCCACGGCAAAGAAAGACCCAACCAAAAACATCAACAGTGCCAGGGTTAAGAACCTCTGGTTCTAAGGTTATTATTAAATAGGAAAAACACTTCCCTTAAAAATGCTTAAACCCTTGATTATTACATTTTGAATCAATTGAGGAGACCAGATGTTGCAAGCTTTCCCTGTAAAGGCCACATAGTAAGTATTTTAGGCATTTTGACCCACATACGGCCTCTGTTGCATATTCTTTTTTGTTATTTTTTAATAAACTTTAAAAAATGCAAAACCCATTCTATGCCTGCTGGTCAGTCCTCCAAGTCCAGCCCCCAGGTCACAGCTTGCTGACCTCTGAACTGGACTGGGGGAGAGTCTCAGAAGAGACAGCTGACAGGAGGGGGGCTGCAGGGCCTCCACACCCCCCAGGCGAGCAAGGCTCGGTGCTGCTTCAGTTGCCGATCAGTCTTCACTCAAAACAGAGCTGGAAACACAGGCGATTGAGCCACATGCTTGCTGAAAAGACGACCTCCAAGGCCAGGTGTGTGGGAGGAAAAATGCTGCAGGCTGTGCCTTCTCTGGGCAGGTGACTCCTCCACAGGGAGTGGCATTTCTTGGCTGCTCATGTGCAAGGAGAAGCTTGAGTGCGGATCACTGAGCAGCCGTATGGAAATCCCAGCAAAGTCCTGCGCATCCCACCCAGCGCCTGCAGACGCCGGGCTCCAACCACTGGGCTGCGGTGATGGCTGCCGAGAAAGCTGAGGACGCTGAAGCTAGAGGGCTTCGCTTTCCCTGGGAAAGGGCTGCGAGTTCACAAAATCACTCAGGGAGTGAAGGGCCTGTGCCCTCGGTACTGGCGTCACATGCTGACGGCACAGAGGGAAGCAGGGGGGCTTCCTCCAAGATGGGACATCAGTTATCCCTCTGGAGTGCCTCCAAAATGTGCCTCTACTAAACTTCTAAAAATCGTTCAAAATTGGCTTTCCAAAGAGAAAATGCAAAGAGGGAGACTGGCAGCTGGACAGAAAACAGAGTGTCCTGGCCTCCTGGCCATCTCCCCACGGCCGGACAGCTGCTCAGGCCGCACTGGCTGGCAAGTCTGCCCCACCCTTGGGACACCACTGATGGCGTCTGCCAGTGACAGGGTCTGTGTTTTCAGCTGAGCACACAGGCCCACTCTGGTCTTGGCTGTGCACGGGGACTTCTGCAGGGCGGAAGCTTGCCAGGGGCACAGGTACCTGTCTCTAGGACTCCGCCTGGGACTGCGCTGCCACCTGCCAGGGGGACTCCAAGGGAAAGGATTGCTCTTCAGGGCTGCATGCCTGCCCCCTGCCCCCTGCCCCCCACCCCCATCCCCACCCTGTGGCCTGCAGAGTCCTTGAGGCTGGCTCTGCCTCGTGCCCCTCCCACCTTCAGCTCAACCATCTGAGTCTTTCAAGACTCCTGCCAAGGCTCACCAGACCCCTTCAGAAGGGGTTACCCTGCCTGTGCAAAGGGCTATCCCAGCTACTGACTTGGCTAGCAAAACCCTGCCCGGTCAGTGAGGAGCCCCTCATGAGATTCCATCACCCGGCTTTCATCTCTTCTCAGAGCTCCCACTGGCAGTCTCTGAAGGGGGGACGTCCATGTCTCCCTAACCTGGGGTCTCCCTGGCACTGTGCCTGGCTGTACAGTGGGAGCTCGGTGAGGTCTGTTGAAAGAAAGAATGAATTGGATGAATGAGTGAATGAGGATAACCAGGTGATAAGTACCACAGGGCTCTCTGAGCTGGAAAGCCACCCCCACCCTGCCAGTTATCTTGAATGGTCGCACCCAGGTGATCTGGGTGACCAGCCACTAGGTTAGGCCTCACTGTAGTGCTCGTGAGACGGCACGAGTGTGGTGGGGTTCACCTGTTACTCAGGAAGTCTAGGCATTAACACTGCTTCCCTTCCCCAAGCAGTGCAAACACAGTGGCACAGTAAAGAGTTTACACAGTTCACTGTCATCTATATTGATGAAAACAACAAATATTGTTAGCATCTTCTGTTTATTTTTTAAGTAGCAGTTATTAATAATAAGTACAAAAATCTACCACATCTCATACCTTTATGAATTTATCCACGCAATATTATCAACCTAGGGTGCTAACACCAATGCAAGCTTCAAAACTTCCAAGAGCAGACAAAGTGAGGCAATGTTCCAAATAGTAATTTTAATATGGCTAAATTAACTACTAGAACAAAATCAACACTGAACTTAGTGAACACTAAATTTCCTCAAAGATACACACTGACCTGACGAACACGGCTTTAAAGGTGACCACAGTGAAGACAACATCCACCT